TAGAAAGTGGCAAATACTGCTGAGATACAGTCTCCACCTCTTGCATGACAATATCAGTCTCTTCTACTTTTCTGGTGACCTCTGCTGCTTCCTTCTTTAGGGTCTCTAAAGTAGTTATGTTTGTGTCATCTAAAATATGTCCCTTCACTTCATTGAGAGCTTGTAGCAGAGATTTTTCTAACTGCCGCAAACGCAGTTGGAATTCACCTTAAGTAAAACAAATTGAGATCTGTGATCACACGCATTGCATATAACCTATACAAACATTTTATTCTATATCGTTTGTCATATCTCCTGTATGCTTTGAAACATAGTGTTACAAAATATCACATTCCTCAACTATAAAAAGAATAGCTGTATATTAGTAAGAGAGTGACTGTCAAGTTTATTCTCTGACTAATTATGACTCATTTTCATGGTTTGATTTTTAAGAAACCTACCTTGAAGTTTAAGGAGGTCAGAACGTTTTTCATCAACATCTGGTCTTTCAGCTTTCAGGACCTCATTCAGACACTGACTCTGTAAACTACTGCGAGTTATTGTGAAATTGACAAACGTAACACGAGAGCAGAGATCCGGGGGAAATTCAACCTATCAAAATAAATATCAGGATCATTTTGTTGGCTTAATATGTGTTCTGCCCTGCTGAAAGCTAAACAAATTTGTAAGTGTTCCTTACTGTTGGATCTCTGGTGGAGAGGAAGATGACAAAGGACGGTGACAAGTCAATATCTTGGTCTCCCAGGGTAATAAGCACTCGACCTCCAGTTCTCCGGACTTCATGATTCAGCACAGGATTCAGAATTGGGTCATAGCTCTCCACATCCTAAACAGCAGTACAATTGTGAGAGTAATGAACAGAACAGTAGCTAAAATGGACCTGTGCTGGAACAAGCTTGAATAAAGTTTGATCTGGATCACATTTTTTCCCCTGCTTGGGAAAAGGTCTAGTAGTAATCCACATGAAGATTTGGTCATGTGTGTAACTACTGTTAGTCCAATGTTATTCCCCATACAATAAGCTAATTTTTAGGATCAAGTACTATTCAGACATTTTGGATGATGGATTACATACCTAAGTAACGTTTCCTGTTTGGATTTCTTAATTTTGCTGTTTTCATTGTGTAGATATCAGATTATAACTAGCACCAAGAGGCCCCAATCAGAAGTGATGCTACCATTGTTACCTGAATCCTGCACCTCACAGTTTAAAAGCACAAACAATAAGAGGGTGATGGAAACCGACACCTTTGGAAAGTAAATTAATCTGTGCCTCAGTTTTACCATCTGTGCTATAGGGATAATATATCCTTATTTCTTAAGGCATGGGTGGCCAACCTGAGCCTGAGAAGGAGCCAGAATTTATCAATGTACATTTCCAAAGAGCCACAGTAATATGTCAGCAGCCCCCCATCAGTTCTCCCATCCACCGGCAGCCCCGCCGATCAGTACCTCTCCCTCCCTCCGCGTACCTCCCGATCAGCTGTGTGGGGTGGGAAGAGTGGGGGGCACTGGGCGGAGTGGGGGCAGGGATTGAGCAGCAAGCACCCCCTGGCACATTGGTGCCTATAGCTCCAGCCCCGGAGTCAGTGCCTATACAAGGAGCCACATATTAACTTCTGAAGAGCCGCATGTGGCTCCGGAGCCACAGGTTGGCCACCCCTGTCTTAAGGTGTTGTGAGGTGCTTGGATACTACAGAAATGGGTGCCATCTCTAAACAGATGTACTTTTTTATATACATGCATACATTTGCCTTTTTGTATTTTCATCAAGCCAATCTGGCTTCTCCCATCTGCTCCAACCTAGCTATTTCAACACTGACTATTTACTGCAGACATCCATAGAAGTGAGTTTTAAAGATTTTTTTTTAAAACCAGGAGCATTATAGATCAGTGTAGGGACTGTTCTGTGCAGAAGGGATGGTGTGTAAAGAGTCACTGAAGGGGAGTGGACAAGCAGACTGGATAGTCAAATCAGAAGGGGCACAATAGGTGACAAATTATTAAGTAGCAAGGGGCACACCTGAGAAAGGCCTTTAAATTTGACCTTGATATGGTAGGAGAGAGGGAGCAATGTGGTTAGAACAACAGGTAAGGAAGATGATGATCTTTGCTGCATTTTGATCCATTGTCTATACAAGGACCTTCATTTATTCATTACCTGAAAAGCACAGAATTGCCAGAGCAGCAATAAAACTAAGCCCCAGCAAGTGAAGATTTCAAGTGTACTTCCTAGGAAATGTAACCACAATTTTTTTTTAATTTATGTAAACAAGAGACTAACCTGGACGAGTAGAGGGTTACCAAATCTCAGTGCACTTTCCAAGTTCTTTCTGAAAGCATCATCCAAAAAGCTAGTACGAGTGATCTTACGGTCCTTGTATTCATTCATAATGAACTCTGTGGCTTGTCCAGAAGGATCAATGATCAGTGGATACCTAAATTAGTGAAAAAATATTTCCATCATATGACTGATTTAAGGCTTCTGATAGAAGCCATTTAGTCCACTCAGGTTGAGTTAATATTCTAAATCTTTTTTGGAGAATGTGGGCTCATGTAATGAAATATGGAGGGTCATTGTTTGGAGACGATAACATAGTTAAATGATCTAACTAGATACAATTATCAAAAGGGTACTTTACTGTTTCAGTCAATACAGACTAACAGTTTCAGTTTGAGCTAAGTTGGTATAATAGTGAAGTATACTAAAGATGCAAGTTGTTTTGCTTATAAACACAAGGGAAGGAGATTATTAAGACTTGCATTTAATTTGCTATCATGGGTACTATGTAGATATCAGACAGTGCTCAAAATTCTCTCAAAGCATTTATATTCAGTTGGATGATAAAGTTTCAATCAAGTTTTCCTTTTGATAGGTGTGTGCAAATTCCATTGACTTCAGTGGGAGTTCTGTGCACCGATCCATTGTTAAGTTTATCCCCATACATTCTGTACTTATTGTACAAATGAAGTACCTATTAAACCGCTTAAGCATGATAGCGTTTTCTGTGCACAGGTCATCTGCAGGTAGAGAACTTGCTTGCCAGCAAAGACGCTCATCTGCATTGGAAAGGTATTCTGTCCTTGCAATGTCTGTACGGAACTGAAGAGTAAAACATTATTATTACTTGCCCAAAGAGAGCCCAAAGTTTGATCAAATTTGATCTTTATCTTTTGTGAACACCTTGTGATTTCCCCTTTACGAAGCAGTAACTCATTACAATCAATGTTAACACTTGTGGTAGTCATGACATTAGTAATTGTGGAGCAATCTTTACCTGGATATTTGCTTGCTGCAAGTGATGGGACCATGTAGTGAACAAGTTCTGTCGCATTTGCTGGTCAAAGTACCCAGCATAAGCAATAAAAGCTCCTGAAAGCAAACAGTCTCCTGCAATAGTGGACATCTGGTTCTTGAAGGTTTCACTTGTCTTCTCCCATCTTTCACGTTCAGCAGACAGATTCTTCAAGAGTGCAGTGCTACGGTTTACCTAGAAATTAAGGAATGGTCAATATAATATACATCTTTATTCAAAATGAAGGCTCCCATAATTATCGCATTTGCAACCTATACGGACAGACAAGTGTGCCCAACACACCAGACTTTTGACCCAAATTTTCAGAATTACGTATGTCCAGAAAACAACTATGAGTGCATGCACAACTCTGGAAGTTTGGTTGTTAGTATTCTTGGGCTATGAATTTTATGGTTCTGGTAGTGGAAAGGGACAGAAGGATTGCAAACATTTTGGAAAACAGGATTAGAATGCAAAACAACCTTGACAAATTGGAGAACTGATCTGAATTCCGCAAGAGAAATTCAGGAAGGGGAAAAAAGAATAAATGCCAAACTACAGAACAGGGAATAACTGCTAGGACAGGGGTGGCCAACCTGAGCCTGAGAAGGAGCCAAAATTTACCAATGTACATTGCCAAAGGGCCACAGTAATATGTCAGCAGCCTACCATGAGCTCCCCACTCCCACCCTCCGCTCCTACTGCCCACAGGCAGCCCTGCGGATCAGCACCTCCCTGCACCTCCCGATCAGCTGTTTCGTGGCGTGCAGAAGGCTCTGGGCAGGAGAGGGAGGAGCGAGGGCACGACAGACTCAGGGGAGGGGGCGGGAAGGGGTGGAGTGGGGGCAGGGCCTGGGGCAGAGCCAGGTGTTGAGCAGTGAGCACTCCCCGGCACATTGGAAAGTTGGTGCCTGTAGCTCCAGCCCTGGAGTCAGTGCCAATACAAGGAGCCTCATTAACTTCTGAAGAGCCGCATGGGGCTCCAGAGCCACAGGTTGGCCACCCCTGGGCTAGGATCTAGGTGGCTAGGCTGAAGAGGATCTGGGGGTTATATCGGATCACAAATTGAATATGAGTGATCAATGTGGTGCAGCTGCAAAAAAGGTTAATATTCTGGAACGTATTAACAGGAGTGTTGTAAGACAGACCTGGGAGGTACTGGTCCCAGTCTATACAGCAATCATGGCTCAGCTGGATTACTGTGTCCAGTTCTGGATATCACACTTTAGGAAAAATGTGGACAGGTTGGAGAATTTCCAGAGAAGGACAACAAAAATGATTAAATGTTTAGAAAACCTGTCTTATGAGAAAAGGTTAAAAAACTGGGCATGTTTGGCCTCGAGAAAAAGACAACCACGGTGAAAGTCTTCCAATATGTTAAGGGCTGTTCTAAAGAGGACTGATCAATTGTTCTCCGTGTCCACTTAAGGTAGGTTGAGAAGCAAGGGGCTTAATCTGCAGCAAGGGAAATATAGATTAGATATGAGGAAAAAAACTTTCCAACTATAAGTAGTTAAGCTCCGGAATAGTCTTCCAAGGGAGGTTGTGGAATTCCCATTATTGGACATTTAAAAAAAAAAAACAGATTGGACAGACACCTGTCAAGGATAAAGGAGGTTTATTTTACCCTGCTGCAGCAAAGGGGGCTGGACTCGAGTTCACTTTCAGCCCTACATTTTTATGATTCCATCAGTGCAGCTTAAGGAACCAAAAAATAAGAGGACATTTGTATGGACCGTTTAACCTGACTTCACTAGTCTTGTCTGAAGAGAACATTAATATAGCAGTTACCCTGCAAGATAGTTTTAAAATATGAGAAAAGGCAGACACTCAACTCTATTAAAAACATTAAGTAATCACAATTCCTCTGAAACACATTTGAGACTTACAGAATTGATCATTTTAATGGGTGAATTTTGTGCTTGTGAAAGAGGACTGGCTTTGCTTTACCTATGCTAGCTTTCCTTGGTTGAGTAACATCCCACCTGCTAGCCTAGTCCTGATCAGACAGATTGCCAATTTAATTGGGTGCCCAGCATGAGGCAGTGACTGGAAGAGCAATCCTCACTCTGGTCTGTTTATCAATGGTCAGCAAAGCTCTTTGTAAGAAGTCCAAAGGAGGAAACATATTGAAAGGCAAACTGTTGTGTAGAGAGGCCATTAAAGCATTCTGTGTTAGAAAGGTATACAGAATGTTTGAAAGCCACTATTCCCACCCCCTGAAACATTAAAGAAAAGTCAGTAAAATGGACAAAATGGTACATTGAGTATTCTCACTTTTGCTTCAACTGCAGCCAGGTCCGCCTTAATTGCTTGAGCCTCCGAAATCAGCACTGCATACTCTTCCTTGTAGCGAGCAATACTGGCCTCGAGATCACGAATCATCTGTTCTACCTCATTAGCTTTCTGTTGATTGTCTTTGGCTTCATCCTCCAGTTTCTGTAGTTCATTGTGGAGGGGTTCTACTCGCTTCAACATATCAGCATAATTCAGCTGTGAAACATGTGAACAGTCAGTTCTAGATACTTTCTAGAATGGAACTTACCACGTGACTTGGGACCATGCAAGTCAGCAAGCATAATTTTTTATGGATTGAGGGCACCCCTCAGGATTTTAGGTATTCAGGCTTTCATTTTAAAAAGGTTAAGTTTCTAGTCTTCTACTTAAACTGATTCACTATTGTGAGTCTGCAGGTGGCCTGAAACAGCCAAGAGGTGTGAACTGCACTATTCATCTCACTGAAGCGAGAATGATGTTCTTTGAGAAGCCTCCAGATTTCAATCAAATTTCAAATTCAATCGTGCAGTGCAGAGACAATTGCCCATGATGCCAGAGCTCTCTTTCAGGGAGTGTAGGATGAAGGCAGGGGAGATCCTGCAATGAGTCTGGAAGGCTAGAAGAGGGAAGCTTATCCTATGGGGTAAGTACCAAATTAGTGTATCCTTTTCCCTGCACACTGGGATTAGCCTGCCCCTGCCCCCACTGAAGAAGCCCTCCAGTTTTCCCATAATAGCACTCTACTCAAGCTTCTAAAATCCCACCCGGAAACCCTCAGCCAAAGCCTACACCCACAAATAACCAACCTTGGCTTTGAATAGGGCTGGATGAGATGCCATCTGTGCTTGCCATTTACATTACTTCAGAGCTAGATGCCCTCCCCTCAATAAGACATGATCACACTGCTCTACAACATTCCCCACCCTTGTCAGGTGGGGGAAACGAGATCAAACAAGGCAACAAAATCTGGTCTGTGCGTACACAAACCTGGCTACAGAGCAAAAAGACCAGCCATTAGTCACTATTATTAAAACAGTGATTTTCAATTGTCTTTTGAAAAAGTAAGTTGTAGGGTTGCAATCATTATATACATGTTCTTATGAAATGTACTACAGGATCCTGTTAATCACAGAACAGTTAACAGAGTATTCAAGAAATAAATAAATAAAATTAATGGAGATATCCTATCTCCTAGAACTGGAAGGGACCTTGAAAGGTCATCAAGTCCAGCCCCCTCCCTTCACTAGCAGGACCAAGTACTGTTTTTGCCCCAGATCCCTAAGTGGCCCCCTCAAGGATTGAACTCACAACCCTGGGTTTAACAGGCCAATGCTCAAACCACTGAGCTATCCCTCCCCCATCTAACATTCAGCACCTTACTCTGCATGTTCACTTGAGACCAATTTCTGTTTTTACCTCTACAATAGCAAGCTAGACAAGATGCCACAGATCTTTGAGTGATGGAAGTCTGCCAATTCTGAGTCCTTGCATATTTCCAGCACCTTAGAACTTGCACTTATCACTAGGTGTTAGATTTCCCACAACACTGAAGCATTCTACATTGGCGCATCTACTGAAGATGAGTTACCTGTGCAATTGCCCATTTTACCATGGGACCACATGCTAAGGATGCTCGGTTTACGATTTCATAATTGTAACTTGGATTTGACATATAATTCTTCTTCATCTTTTCCCGGATGGAATCACTGCAAAAGAAGAGTTATGTTTGACACAGCATGTGTGCAAGTGCTGAATCTCTCAGCGCAGAGTTACTGAGAGGAAGTTGCCCCTTTACTACAGTAGATAAACTAAAACCAATACCTTATCAGTGGTTCTCAAACTGGGGGTCGGGACCCCTTAGGGGGTCGCAAGGTTATTACATGGGGTGTCACAAGCTATCAACCTCCACCCCAAACCCTGCTTTGCCTCCAGCTTTTATAATGGTGTTAAATATAAAAAAGTTTTTTAAATTATGGGGGGGGGGGGGAGGGGTGTCACACTCAGAGGCTTGCTATGTGAAAGGGGTCACCAGTACAAAAGTTTGAGAACCACTGCCTTAGATCTTCAGTATTAAAGTTGACAATGCTGCTGATGAAATTATCTCTGAGAATAATTGGTCTGTCTTTCTCTAGTCATTTGTCTCCTCACCCAACAAGAGAGAGATTGATTATAAAGCCAGTTTTACTGCAGCAGGAGGGTTGGCCATTGCTCTTACTTCAACAAGATGCTGCTTCCTTATAGAGCTCACAGCTATTAAGGGGATGAAAAAGGGATTCAGCATGCAACAATCAGGGATTTAAGGCTACTGCTGGGAAATAATGAAAGAAATTTAAGTTCAATTACTGGGAATAGTCTATACTCCAGTGCTCTGATGGCAGTATGTGCTACTCAGACTATACTTTAAAATTTATTTTAAGAGCAAAATTTAGCTCTGAGATGCACATCTTCTCCCTGATAGATCATCATCTTCATGAATATATGACAGAGTTTGATATTTTGTTCTCTGCATAAAAGGTGGAGATTCTGCACACACACGAGATGAATTCTGCTTTTTGTGAGGTAGAAACCAAACCCTAACATCACCAATTGTGACTACTAGTAAGATTTCTATTGTGAAAATCTTGTGAACAATTTATTTATATTCCCAGCAATAGCTCGGTACCTGCAGTTATTCACCTGATCTCCTCAGCAGAAAAGTTTACAATAGTTGGAATGAAGTTTTCCCTCATAATGATGGAACGTATCTGTTTCCAGTCAGTTGTACTTTCACCCAATAGTAGACAGATGGACTCTAGTGCTAGCTTCACTGCTCCAGGTGGGTTGGCCATAGAACGGACCTCTACCAGTTGCTGCTGCTTTATTGATTTTACAGTTAATCACAGTGGTCAAGCCAGATCGAGCAGGAGAAAGGAAGAGTATTGATAGGGGAGAAAAAGGAAGAAAAGACAGCAAAACAGTAAGGACAGGAATTAGCAAATCTTCATTGACATTGTTGAGAGATTTTTAAGCTTCAGGTAACATCTAAAATGAATTAAACCTCTCTTGTAAAAACCAAATGGTTTCCACATTTTGAAAACTCTCCACCAGTATGCTCATGTGAGAGAGAGCAAGCTGAACTATCAGAGGCCTCCAAGTACCACTACAAGAGCAAGAGTTTGCACGTGGCAGCTATGTTGAGTTCACAGGAGCCTAAAAACAAGGCTGTGCCTCTACAGCGAGAGGCCGTATACCTAGGCAAATAGTGAGTTAGAAGTCCTTCCTCCTCTTATGCAACCCACTGATAAGCCATTGTAACCAAGTCTTGAGTAACTAAGTTGTAGGTAGTATTTCCATTCACGATACTTATGTAGCGTTTATTAAATCACTAATTCCATGAACTGGACACTGCTATCTCTTAAGAGGCAGCAGCAGCAGAAACAGAACACGTTAGGGGTTTGTCTAGAAAACAGTGAGCAACAAGCTGGTGTCTAAGAGCACAGCAAGCTAGCGTGCTGTAGACTAACTGACTATGTGGACCATATTACTGCATACCAGAAATTTCCTAGCGTTTGTTGACCTACTCCTGTTTCAGGAGTTCCAATTCTAATGTACCCTGGTATACTGAAAGATAGTAAGTAAATCTAGCAAAGCTTGGCAAAAAACAGTGAACCATTAAGACAGTTTATTGCGCAAAGTTTAATAAAAATACTGCTTAGAATGCAAGTCTACAGTAGCAATAATTGGAAGTTTGGAAGCTCAGTAGTGCTAGTGAACTATTTTCCTTTCTACTGCTGCCACACTAAAGATTAAGATACTGCTGATAAAGGGATGAACCCAAAGTTCACTGAAGCAAATGGAAGCACTCCCACTGACTTCAAGAGCCTTTGGATCAGCCCCAAACCCCTAAAGGATGGCATGCTGTAGTTATTTGTCAGTGTTGACTTACCATTCTGAGCATCAATGACAGCAGGCTCGACTTTGTCTAGCTCCTCCTTCACACTCATTTGCTTATCTGCAATTACTGCTTGCTGTTCGTGCAGCTTCTCTTGAATGTCTTGGCTCATAACCTAAGAGAAAGATTGTGCGACCTTTAAGATATTATTTCTAAATATACTGTACATGTGCAAAAGGTAAAGAAAGCTTTGATTTCACCTTTTTCTTCTCAGCTTCTTGCTGATGCTTCACCATTTTTTTCAGCTTGTCATTAGCTGCTGCATTCTTTACTTCCAACTCCTGGCTCTTTATTCTCAAGTCCCTACGCAGTTCTTCCACCTGACATGAATGGTAAGATTAGAGTCTGTACAGACTAAACTCAGTTTTAAAATGTTTTAATAGCTCTAATTTTATATTAAAAAGCAAAGTTTAAAGGTATGTACCTGGTCAACAGTTTCCTTGATCTTTCGAAGACCAACATTCAAATGCATCTGCTGTTCCTCCAGCTCACTCCTTTTCTCATTGAACAAGTTGACATAATGGTTGATGAAGTCCAAATAGTGACGTGGTGTGATGGCCATAGTTCTGCCTCCCCATTTTGCTAGACGAGCGTTAGCCTTCCCAAAGGAAAAAGATTTTGTCAAAAGTTAGTATATATAAAAGATTAGGATTATATAATATCTAGATTTTTTTAAACTCAAAACCGTCACAGCAGCAACACTGTTGTACTGAACTTGCGTCAGTCCACTAGAACATGACATTAGAGATCTGAGTAGCATGGCAGAACACACCTGATGAAGGGTCTGATGAACAAATACACAACTATTTACAATAGCTTCCCTATGTGATGGCGGTTGTGGTAACTTCTCATACACAACTGGCATATAGTCTGGCACAATGTAGTTTGGCTTCTCAAGATCCATTTTGCTTGTAAACTCTTTGCCAACTTCGTACAGTGCTTCAGTTGACCAGTCTCCGAACCAGTTCAAGACACACCTGCAGACAGGACAAGACGTATTACAACTTCCAAAATTTCTTTTTTCAAGAGGGTATTAACAATATTCTTAATTAAAAAAAGACAGACCTGAAGTGTTAAGATACTCTGGGAGCTAACCTACAACAAAGTAAGTAAGTTACCTGTTGAAGAGAGATGGAGAAGTAGCTGCTCTGTCCTTCAGGCCCTCAGAAGATGGGTTCATGGTGAACACAACATGGAGATTGTGAATAACTTGACTGGTGAACCATTTGTACAGTTCTTCATGTGAATCTAGCATTAAACCTTCTTTCTGTGCTCCCTCTTTACATTGAGTCATAAGGGTGGCATATTCATCTCCTTCAAAGAGACCAGGAACCTAATCCAGGAAATAAGTATATTTTTCTTAAAGGCTTGATTTTCCCTGCATAACTGCTACTTTACACAGATTTACTCAAGTTACCTCTCCATTGGCCAGAAGATTATTCATTTTTTCCACGAATCCAGAATCCAGTACATTTGACTCATCCATTATAAATGCTATTTTCTCATTCTTGCAGCCAGAGCGTCTGAAGACCGTTCTCAGATCTTCATCAAAGTCTTCACCTGTGTATTTTCTATGAACCTATAAAGATTTAGCAATAGTTACTGATCTTTTTTTAGCCCTTATCGTCCCACACAATGACTTATCTTTATACATTTATCTTACCAAAGATAGAATATCTGCAAGACAACTGCAAGCTTTAACAGTCAATTTTTTTGTTGAGTGATAGAACTAAACCAACCTTTATTTGGTAAACACTTAAACCATTCATCCAAGCCACAAATCGTGAGAGAGTAGTTTTCCCTGTTCCACTAACTCCAATGAGAAGCAAGTGACCCTGAGGCTGGCGGAAGATTCTGAAAGAGATTGGTACTTCAAGTAAGTTTACTGCTTGATAAATTGTGAATTAGCCACAACATTTCTAAACCTCCTTTCCTTGCAAACTTAACCTGGTTTTTTTTTTTAGTACTGTGACTGGTTCGGGGGCACACTGAAGTGACTATTGGCAATATTTCTCAGTCTGCTACAATTCCAACCTTGCAGTGCTCCCTTTACAGAATGCCTCTCCCAAGTAGAACACCAGTATAAACTGGTGTGCCATTCTGGACTAGTCTGAATACAGATTTGTTTTACAATTCAAACTAGACAAACCCAGAAGTTGGAAATTCAGCTTACCGGTCAATTCTTAGCACATGATCCAAAACTTCATTGAACAGCACTAGTGGCACATCAAGTTCTTCTTCATAAAACACTTTCAGCCTGGCTTTTACATAGTCTCTCAGCTCTTCCTGATCCACTGGGATATAATCCTAGAATAAGGAGGCCAATATGTAAGCAAAAGATCTAAGACTAGAATTTAAGACTAAGGGAGAGATTCTAACCCTGCTGACCCCTCTGTGCTGGATAAAGGGGCTGGAGTGACACGAATTCCCAACTCAAGAATTGAGGATGACAGCCACAGGGAACCCCTCAGACTCTGATGTAGCATGTGCCACAGGCAGGGCCTATAATGTCACATGCCATGGCAGCAGTGCTGCCCAGAATTTCTCCAGGCACCTGGGAACTGGCTTGCACAATTTAGACAACCCATTAAGGCTCAAAGCTACCTTAAGTTCCCCCCACCTCACCCCACTCCCCCCCTGGCTAGGAGTTCTGTGCTGTGCCTCTTAGCAGCATAGTTCAGACTTTCACTTTAAGTTGAAAAAACTAGTTTGCACAACAGCTCAGATGCTGCATTTAAATCAATGCACAAATAGAAAATGCATCATGTCTGCAGAGCCACTGTAACGTAAGGCATTTAAAATGATCTACTGCTTACTTTCAGAGGCAATATAAGTCAGTATATTCCATAAGTGCCAGAAAATTCCCAGGTAGATAGGTATTTGTGCTCCTCCTTGGCACTTTTACCATCACTGCAAATTCCTGATTTGAATACACATATGGCTCAACTTGTTTGAGGTATGTTACCTAATACACTGGGTGCATGTATGTTAAGTGCATTTTCATAAGTCTAAACAGACAGGAGCACATTTAGCCAGCAGGCACAGAAGTAGATTTATGAATACCTGCTTGGACGTTGAAAAGCAAACCCTAAAACATTCAGAGCGACGAGCTTTACAATCACATATTAGCATTACACAATTGTTTCTTGAAGTCAACTGCAACAGTTGAAGCCATATAAAGGATTGGGGCGGGGGGGAGCAGAAGAAAATCTAAGGCCACGAACAGTTTATTGATCAGACATTATTGTTCGTTATGAGACAACTATGGCATTTATTGTTCTGAAAGCATATAGCCAGATACAAGATTGAGTATGCTTGTACTCCACAATCATACCACCTTGGGTCATACCTCAGATCAAGTTATGCAATGATCTGACTAACATCACTTGGGAGACCAAGGGAAAACCAGGATGCTAGGAAATGAAGCTTGTGACTCAGTGGGTGGCACTTCTCCTTTGAGTCATTAGTTAGCCAGTGTGGTTACGGACACCATTGGCTTATTTGTTAAACAAGCCAAAGAGACAACCTACATCTTCTAACTGCACTAGTCCAAGACCCCAAGATACTTTCTGCAATTGTTACCCTCAATATTCTAGATGAGTCCCTGTTTGGGTATATGCTCTGCCTTCTAATTCACAGTTCTACTCCCTTGGTACCCGGACAGGTTCTGCTATGTGCTGGATACCCATCATGCCATGCCGCATCAAATGTGTTTGCTTACCAACTCCAAATGGTTAGCAATCCTTATTGTCAAAGGTAAATTCCATCACATCATGGACTGTGCTTAGTATGCTAGAAGAAGCGCTGCCTAAGAGAAGTGGTTGGCAAAGATTCACTCTCTTATTCTGATACTTTGTGTCTGCAACTGCCAATATCAAGGCTTCTATTGAGATATCCCTCTTTACCTTTGACAGCCAATTGCTGTACAAGATGGGTCTGCTCATAGCTTTCTCTTTGTCTATGTTGGGGAAATGTTTCAGAGCTACCATATCAATGTTTTCATCAGTCCAACGTCTCTCCTCATCTTCCACAAGTCTAGTTAGAGAGAGACACAGTTACAAGCAAGCATGCAACACCTATTAAAAACAGATACATGTGAAGGACACACCAAGTACTATAAATAGCAAGTTAAGGCAAAGGGTAATACTATTGTACATATAGGTCAGTTCTATCTACTTGGAACTACTTAGCAATCCAACAGACACTGCTCTTACCCTGAGCTTAGAGAACTAGATTTCAAATCCACAAAGGTATTATTCTTCATATTTAGGTTATGTGTATAAGCCTTTGTAGGTGGCACTTATTTTATGAACTTAAACTTTTGTTCATTTCTACAATTTGTACTTTTAATACTATTTCCATAGTTTCTTTACCTGTCTTGGAAGAGACGCAAGGCTTCGTGTGCCCAAATCCTAATAAGGCCTTCAACAGGTAAGGTTTCTAATAGTCTTAAGGCTTCAGAGATACCTCTCACCCATCGAGTCATTTCACGAGGTGAATAAATGTAGTGTGGCTGTGTGTCCTGGGTGAACCTTTCCTAAAAATTCAAAACACTGGGTATAGTATCTAATGGGATAAAGTTATGCAACAATAATTAACATGCAAACAATGCTTCTCATGCCCCCATCTCACAACTGCTAATAAAAACAGGGTAAGCAGGCAGCAGGCCAAAACAAAAAGCACTGGGATTTATCTAAAGTGGCAAAGTAACAAGGAAAGAGGACTAGTCAGCAGAAGTTGGGAATAGTGTGTAGAGCAAGTTACCTGTGACATTGTGTAGAACTCTACCATGGCAGCAGTAAGAGGTTCTGCATATGTGCGGAGCGATGGGATAAGCCTCAGCATTGCACGATTGAATGTTCCATATATCTGAGTAAGTGAAGCTGGTCCAGGATAGTCCACATACACCACAGGGACATGGCGTAAAAACCTGAAAGAGGTCCAATAGCTTAGTGTTCATACCAGGAAAGACTTCATCCAACTCAGCTAGACTAGACCTGACCTATCTATTTTCAATATTCAAAACAACTGCCATCCTTGGTGGAGATTTCATCTCAAATTAAGCCACTAAAAGTCAAAGTAGGAGAGTCAATTACTGACTTGTACTCTGCAATATCACATCATATCGGTTTGTTTCTGATCCAAGCTGCTTGTTTCATAGGGTAAAAATAACTATTAATTTCACAACAGCATTCTCAGCCTCTGAAGTGAGTAATGTTCAGCACTCACCTTAGCCACCACCCCGTTGGCTAAAACAAAGTCCTCTTTGAAGTACAGGAATGTGAATGGAGTACAGTCTGTGTTCTTCATAGATTCTAAGGCCAGAAGAAATCTTGTCTAACCTCCCATATAAAACAGGTGGTAGAACTTCCCCAAAATAATTCCCAGGGCATCTTTTAGAAAAAAATGCTACTATCTCGATTTAAAAATTGTGAATGATGCAGAATTCACCCTTGGTAAGTTATTCCAATGGCTAATTACTCTCACTGTTAAAAATGTATGCCTTGATTCCAGTTTGAAGTTGTCTAGCTTCAGTCTAGCAAAGAAAGGTATAACATGATCCAGTGGCTGGAAGCTGAAGAGCCCATTATTAAATATTTGTTCCCCATGTTGGTCTGTGAGTACCTATCAAGTCCCTCCTTAACCTATTCTTTGTTAAACTAAATAGCTTGAGCATTTTGAGTCCATCATTATAAAAGCACATTTTCTAATCCTTTATCATTCTTGTGGCTCTTCTCTGAACTCTCTTCAATTTGTCAACATCTTTCTTGAATTGTGGGCACCAGAACTGGACACAGATTCCAGCAGTGGTCACACCAGTGCCGAATACAGAGATCAAGTAAGCCTTTTTATTCCTATTTGTGATCCCCATTTAAGCATCCCAGGATTGCATTAGCTCTTTTGGCCACAGTGTTCCATGTTCAGCGGGGAGCTCAAGTTCAACTGATTATCCACAATGATCCCCAAACCTCTCTCAGGATAGAGTCCCCCAACCTGTAAGTATGGCCAACCTTCTTTGTTCCTAGATGTATACATTTACATTTAGCTTTATTAAAATGCATATTAACTGCTTGCGCCCAGTTTACCACGTGACACCGATTGCTGTGAATCAGTGACCTGTTCTCGTCATTATTTACCATCCTCCCAATTTTGGGTCCTCTGCAAACAGTCAGTGATTATTTTGTTCTCTTCCAGGTAACTGATAAAGATGTTAAAAATCATATGGCCAAGAACCAAACCCTAATGGAAATAAGCCCACTCAATAATGGCTCCCCGTTAATAGTTACATTTTGAGACTTATCAGCTAGCCAGTTTTTAATCCATTTAATGGGTGCCATGTTACTTTTATATCATTCTAGTTTGTTTTTGTTTTTAAACCAAATTGCCATACAGTACCAGGTCAAATGCCTTACCTAAGTGAGTATATTATGTCAACACTATTACCTTTATCAGCTAAACTTGCAATCTCATCAAAAACAACAAAGTTAGTTTGACAGGATCTATTTTCCATTAACCCATGTTGATTTGTATTAGTTACATTGCTCTCTTTTAGTTAACAATCAAGTCCTGTATCAGCCACGCCATTATTTTGGCTGGGATCTAGGTCATCCCATTTACCCTTTTTAAAAACTGGCATTTTAGCAGCTTTCTTCCAGTCTTCGGAACTTCCCGTGCTCCAAGACTTATTGAAGATCAACAGGAGCTTGCTGGACCATTAATGAGCAGCTCATTTGGATGCAAGGTATTTTTAAACCAATATTTGATGCTACAAACTAGATTCCAGTATTAGAATGTAAAGGCATCAGATACTCCATTTTGCAGATCAGGACTATAGTTTTAGTAGCTTCAGACTAGTATTTACCTATTTGAAAGCGGTTTCCTTCCAGGATCAGTAGGTGGGTTACAAGCTCCAACAAACTGAATCCTCTCTAATTTCACCCAGGTCTGATCCGATGTACGGTAGAAGCCTCCATGTTCCACCATCTGAATGAGGGAATTGTTTTAATACAAGAAAGTTCCCATAATAATATAATAGTATAATCCTTAGTTTCACAACAAAACAAACCTGTCTAATGAAGGATATGACTCTCTGCGTGCCATACTTATCCATATCTGGCAAGTTGATTTCATCACAGAACAGCACCAGCCACTTTCCTAGCTGCACAGGAGCCAGCACCACTCCATTAGGTGTACGCCTGTACTCACAGTAATGATCAAAAGTTTTCAAAAGTAGCTCTGGGGTAGTAGCACTAGAGAAGTTAAGTCCAACCACCTTAAAAAAAAAAAAAAACAAAAACCAAGGGTGAAAGAGGTAAATCCATGAAGACATTTGATACATTTTAATAGTTTAAAGTCTTAGAACCAAGTTTCAGTAGATTATCATTCCTCAGTAACAAATATATGTTACAACTTGGCCTTCAGATTGAAAATATATGCTGTAGGTTGACTAGATACTGATCACTGGATGCTGTTTACACAAGTATTTGGATCACTACAGATATGTAAAATTCCTTATAGACTGTCATCAAAGTCTGTTATCTGCCAGTTGTACCCACTTGTTAGAATACATACCGTCTCTCAACACTGTTAACTGGTTTAAACACTCATACCTAGACGGAACAGCCACCTGAACTCGAAATACTTTTGATTTAATACTAAACAAGTGAAAAAAAAAAAAAAGCCAGTACTACTGGTGCTAGTTAGAAAGGAACAATAGATGGCCTTGACATGAAGGGACTCCTGGAGTTCGGAAGAGTCTAGATCTTCCTGGTGACTATGGGCAAGACACTAATTTCTGCTTCAGTTTCCACTCCCATTTTACAGATCTTATAACACTCTATGAGGTAGTAACAGTTAGGATACATTCATTTAGCTGAGCAAAGAGCTCTGATACAATGAAGTTTTTACCATGTAAGTAGAGAGGTGTTGCAGTAATCATTAGAGTAACCTTGTAGGCAGCTTTTACTTGTTATACATTTGCAATTATTCAATAACGTACATATAAACAGAATAGTTACCTCCATATCAGGGAGGGCTCTGAGAGCACTGAAAAGGGTCATAGTCTTTCCAGAACCTGGTGGGCCACAGAGCACCAGGGGTTTGTGTTCCGCTAGCCAAGTATACAGCAAAGCTTCATGGCGGACGGTATCTAGGGTTGGTACTACAACATCAGGAGCAGCAACCTTGTGTGTCTCAACTTCAATCTGAGGAACCTTGGACTGCCATGGGACCCACTCACCTGTAATCGACACCTAGGTGAACAGAAATATAGTTAATGTATAAAATTTAGTAGAGAAATGGGTTCCAATGGGGTTCTCATCACAACCCCAGCTTATTTTACACAACTTCATGCTTTAATCTGTGAACTCAGTTAAAATTTTAACACCTGCAAATTTGATGCTGTGGGACTAGTTTAGAAGACGTTTGGACTACACAGTACATTATGTACCAACTGAACAAACAAACAAACAAAAAGGCAAAAAAAAAAAATCAATTGTAGAGTGGCTTGCCTTGAGCTAACTTGTGAGATACTGATTTAATCCCATTGAGAGAGGTTAATTTAGAAATAGTGTCATTCAGGTTTTGTTTCCTTAGGAATTAGGTTTTTAACCTATACCAAGTACAAGAGGCTATTACCTCATAATCAATTATGGGTATGTTGGGTGCTGTGGGCCATGGTACAGTGGTGATTCTCCTAATGTATTCTCCCAGCTCTGCTCTCATTTTCAGACGGCTGTCTCCAGAGAGAGACCACAGTATTGCATAGACCAGGTATCTCTGATGGAAGACAGGAGAAAGATTAGTCCACACAAATGCAAAAAAGTATTACTTGTGTTCGAAGGACAGCTGAAGAAAATACAAGGAGAGCCTGGTAACTGTGTTCATCTTTAGGCTTTCAGATCACTTTACTGCAGTATTTACTTTACCTGGATATAACGCTCCAGTTGATCTATCTGCATAGGGAAGTCGGGATGGTTTGCATTGTACTGGTCTACATTGCGGCAAGCCTGATGCAACATAGAGAACAATGAACCAAGACAGCGCAAGCGAGTGAGGTCCATGATATGCTCTAACTTGAAAGCATGTTCAAGAGCTTTAGTCACCAGTCCATTAGATGTGAAATAGGGCTGCATAATTGTTGCTGCATCTCTTTGAATCTGTTGGTAAAGACATTAGCATTGTTCAAGGAACTTGGTTTGTAGTCTTAAGTCATAACACTACATTTTAAAATAAGTTTGTCTATAGCATGGGTTCAAAGTGTCATACTTTAATTGGGGAATACAACATGCAAGTTATATTTTGTTAACTCAATCTCTATTTATATTCAGTACAGCCTGTAAGATTAGGAAGTGCCTCGAAAGCTTCTTTTAGTGGGTCTGGTGTCAGTCCACAGTATTACAATCCATTCCAAGATATACCTGCAACATTGGAGAAGCTGCTTCTTCACTTTCATCTTCTTTGCCCTTTCGCCTGCGCTGAGCTTCCTCTTCACCTTCATCCAGAGGGATGTTTCGTAGTCTGGCCAAGAAGTTATTGAATATCATGTCAGTGCTTAAGACATCTTCACTGAACCAGACCATTCCGCACCTTGACACTGTGGCCAGAGTAGCATATTTCAGATCCTGTACCTCAAACATGATACGCACCTAGAGAGAAAGTGCACACATTTAAAATAAGTTAGATTTTATGTTCTACTGAATCTATTACAGTAATTCCTCACATAACGTCGTCCCGGTTAACGTTGTTTCGTTGTTACATCACTGATCTGTTACAGAACATTTGGGTGACCAGACAGCAAATGTGAAAAATCGGGACGGGGGTGGGGAGGTAATAGGAGCCTATATAAGAAAAAGACCCAAAAATCAGGACTGTCCCTATAAAAATCAGGACATCTGGTCACCCTAGAGAACATACTTGTTTAAAGTTGCACAATTCTTCCTTATAGCGTTGTTTGGCAGCCGCCTGCTTTGTCCACTGCTTGCAGAAAGAGTAGCCCGTTGGAGCTACTGGTGGGGGCTTGGAACCAGGGTGGACCGGCGGTGCTCCTATCAGCTCCTCTAAGTTCCCTGTGCAGCAGCTGCCCAGCAGGCTATCAATTGCTGGGCAGTTCAGGTATCCCTGCCCCCACTGCCGTGTGCTGCTCTGACCCTCTGCCTTGGAGCTGCTCCCGGGAGCCTCCTGTTTGCTGTGCAGGGGGTGGAGGGAAGAGGGGTGCTGATGTCAGCGTGTCTCCCTCCCCATACCCCATCTCCACGGAAGGGGGCAGGGGGGAGGAAGAGAACAGGACAGGGCTCAGGACGGAGGGAGCTTGCTGGCAGCAGCTGCTGTCTCAACTTGCTGATCTACCTAAAAAAGCAGTGTACTTAGAGTGGGGTCAGTGTACTTAAAGGGCAATGTGCTTCACATACCCACGGTGTGTGTGTGTGTCTCTCTGTGTCACAACCCCTCCCACACGTTGTGTGTGCGTGTCTCTCTCACACACACACACACACACACCCCCTCGGCACTTTGGAAAGTGGAGGGAGTGGTGCACGCCAGTGGGATAGCATGAGTTCATCATCACGTTCAGTTTCCACAGGGAATGTTTGCAGCCACTGCCATGCTGTGTCTCCTCCCTCCATTCCTGCTGCCTTGTAGAGTGTGAGGCTCCATTAACAATGTGTTAACCCTCGAGGGCTCAGCCGGGTGCTAGTTCATCATTTACCAATAAGGCATTCCCTCGGAAATATCCCACCCTCTGACTCCACCACCTCAACCCAGCTTCACAGTCATCATTGCTGTGTACATTAAATTGTTTGTTTACAACTTATACTGTGCGCGCACACAAACACACACACACACACACACACACACACTTGACTTGTCTAGTGAAAAACATTTCCCTGGGACCTAGCCCCCCCACGACCCCCATTTACATTAATTCTTATGGGGAAATTGGACTCACTTAACATTTTGCTTAAAGTAGCATTTTTCAGGAACATAACTACAATGTTAAACGAGGAGTTACTGTAAAAGCTGTTAACATGCTTCTCTAAACTCCCCAAAAGCCAATATGTGGTATAAAAATTAGTTTTGTCTTGAATACATAAAATACTTTATGAAGTTAACACCTAATTAGACATTCATGCATGATCTAGTATTTCCTAGTCTGGAAGGGTCAAGGTAAACCGGACATGACAAACTCCATAACCACAGAAGGGTTTTTAAGCAATTCAACCAGACTATTGCATAAGATCACTTTTGCTCTGATGCAATATTAACTTTACTCTGTGCCCACAGGTTGTGTGATGAGAGCCTGTTCATGTCAGCTACCAAAAGCAGCAGAGAGATCAAATTTTTAGTAGATTAAACTATTTAGAAATGCTAAAATGTTTGTAAAAACAAAAAGAACTTTACATTTGGTGGAAGGCTGAGACGTTCTCCATTGGGCAGAGTCAGCAGTTTGTTGTCATCCAACACGGAGTTTAAGTTCTCCACCCATTCAGGATCTACATCCCCATCAAAGATGATCCACTGTCGTTTTTGCAATTCACCTCTCACATTGTCTATGATCCTAAGTTCAGGAAAGCATTTAGTGTAGGTTAAAAAACAGAGTAATTTTCCCTTCCCTCAATCCTCCATGGCAATGACAACATGCAAGAATATCTCTAATAGCCACTTCTTAACTTATACGCTATTCATGTTTAAGACTCACTTTCTCAGGACATGTGTAAACAATCCATCTGTCCATTCTCTGGTATTTGGATCCAAAGTACCATAGAGGTGATCTTTGCTGATTGCTTTTGGATCAATGATGTGAGCAACACCTTCTACACCCTCTAGCCGCTCCAGGGCTTTTAGCAGCACTCTCCAAGCCATGCTCTTTCCACTTCCAGAAGGACCCACCATCATCAACCCATGATTGATCTGGGTAATTTGATAGAGCTGAAGAACCTGTGACAAAACAGAAGGATCTGTCATTTAAGACTTGCATTTATTAAAATTCAAACCTATTAATCTGGAATCACTTAAAGTTGAAACTTATTTTAGGTATTCTGTCTATTTGGGGAGCAGTTGTATTTGATTTCTGTATCACGGAATATGGAAAGTGTTATATGTACTTTGTCAACTCTACATTGTAAGATTTACAACCATCACAACGTACCTTTTCGACCCACATGCCACCAACTTCTTCTCCATCACCATATGTAAGGTACATTTCCTGACACACTTTCTTAAGCTCCTCTCGCAGGGCTGTCATTTCACCACAGTGATACTGTACTCCAGGGAATACATCAGACAAGAGACTGAACAGCAATGGGATGTCTTCTGCAATAAGTTTGGGTACCATTGTTTCACACACACTCTGGATCAAAATCTACATGGAAAATTT